ACCTGCATGACATCAGCGATCTACTGATCACTGGTGCAATGTTTTCCAGGCTCCTGTAGACAAAAATAATAAATGCACATTTTTGTACCTGCAAAAAAAATGTACATTTATTACGTTTGTCCAAAAGGTGAACTTATCCTTTAAACCAGAGTGCACATTTTCAGCACACTTACCAGCCAGTCAGCTAACAAATTCAACACTGTGTGTGAATGTCCAAAAGAGTTTGTAACAGGAATATTTTGGGATGTTGATTAAAGTTAGTGATGAGCTGAACAAACCTGGGTTCATTTTGAGCAGTCAATTAGAGATAAATGTTAAAAAACAGTTCTGGGCATATTCTGGGCTAACAAGCAACAGACTGTCAAATGGCATGGGAGACTGGGCACTGCCCTGGGGGTACATATACCAGTGACTTTAGTAATGCTTAGAGTGAAACATTAAAAATGTAAAACTCCATTAAATAACATGTTTGGAGAATGCCTTGACCCAGCCTGTGAAGTGGCCCTTCTGTGCAGTGTATGCAAACTATTATTACAGAAAAATAGAGATTTACAAACAATAGATGTTTAAATTGCTGGCAAAATGACAGCTCCTTGATACCTAATTATGTCTGAAAAAAAAGTAGCTGGGGGTTCCCTTCATCTATATCAGCTCTTACCCTAGATGAGGATCTGGTATAGATGTTAATAAGGAAACGCTTCGGCCTCTAATTCCAACCAGGCCCTCAGATCTGGTATGAATTTTAAGCAAGACCCACAAAAAATTAAATAAATAAAAGGTGTGAGGTCCCCCTCCCCAAAAACCCATAGCAGATCCCTATGCAAGGATGCAGCCTGGAGTGCCAGGAAGAGTGGGGGAATAAGCGTGCAGCCCCCCTCCTAAACCTATACCAGGCCACATGTCTTCTACATGGAGAGTACCTTACCAGCAAAGACACCCCCCCCCCCAGCAATGCACCTTGACCCCATGTTGATGAGGGCAAAAGCCTCTTCCCCACAACCCTGACCTGGTGCTTATGGGGTCTGCGGAGGGTATATAATCAGTACCTGGAAACCCCTTTACCAATAAAAGACAGCTCCCAGATACTACTCTCCTTATGTAATGAGTAAGGGTGCACGGTATATATGCAGAAGCCACACTGCCGTGTTATAGCCCCTCTGCGGCTGCACTATATAGAGGGGCCTTGATGAATGCAGCTTCCACATATACAGTATTTGAAAATTTATGCAACTAACACCTATTTTAATACAAAAGGAGTGTTGTCTATGTATGTGTCTTCTATTGAAACACCTACCTCACCTCTCCTGTGGATTTTGCCAAAATTTGCCACCATGGTTTAAGTGGAACTCCCCAGCTGAAACAGAATAGGGCTTAGTAGCTGAAACAGTGACTTCCAGCTGAAACAGATTAGGGCTTAGCAGTTGAACATACAGGACAATCTACAACATATTTTCCATTTTAGATGTCTGTTTTTATTTTGGCTTTTAAAAGCAAGCTCAGAATGTTTTTTCCCTACCTGTCAAAGATAAGTGCAAAAGAATGCTGGGTTTTAAGTACACCTGTAGAGAATTTCTCTTATTATACACCGTTGACTGTTTAGAAATTGACGGATATGCTTACCTTTTTCTTATAGGATCTGTACTTCTATTGTCAATGGAGTTCTGTTCACTACCTGGGACCAACTACCCAATTATTCTGCCAGCAGGCAGCCATTAGTAGATACTAAATAGATGGTCTCAGCTGCTCTTGCTACAAATCCCCGCTAGCAAACGTGTTAAATGCCAAGATTTTCAATATGCTTCAACATTCTGAGTTCAGCCTGCAAACAACAAACCTATACGCAAATATATATTGCTGTAAGCTAATATGTGTCATTTTCAATGAAAAATGAAGGAGCTGCTTTAACACAAGGCACATTACTGCGACATTGTGAATCCAGCCTTAAGGACCCCTGTACTAAAAAATGTTGGGGTGAATTGCTGACTGCCTGAAAAACTGTAACTGTTTTGCTTTCTCTGGCTTCAATAATGACCGCAAGCAAATATTCAACCAGCAATGTGAAAGTAAGGATAGAAAGGCTGTTCTGTAAACTTGGTCCAAGAAAATGACTCAAAATATGAAGCTACTTGACTGCCAGAAAAATTACAGAAAAATATATTTTTTTTTGAAAGAGGGGTAAGCACTGGTAGCCTTCATATTTACAGTTGTGCTCAAACATTTACATACCCTGGCAGAAATTGTGACATTTTGGCATTGATATTGAAAATATGACTGATCATGCCAAAAAATGCTCTTTTATTTAAGGCTGATGATCATATGAAGCCATTTATTATCAAATAGTTGTTTGGCTCCTTTTTAAATAATAATGACAACAGAAATCACCCAAATGGCCATGATCAAAAGTTTACATACCCTGGAATGTTTGGCCTTGGTACAGATACACAAGGTGACACACAGGGGTTAAAATGCCAGTTAGAGGTTAATGTCCCACATCTGTGGCTTTTTAAATTGCAATTAATGTCAGTGTATAAATAGTCAATGAGTTTGTTAGCTCTTACATGTAAGAACTGACTAGGCTAGATACTGAACCATGGAGATCAGAAAAGAACTGTCAAAAGTCCTGCGTAACAAGGTAATGGAACTTTATAAAGATGGAAAAGGACATAAAAAGAAGTCCAAAGCCTTGAATATGCCAATCAGTACTGTTAAATCACCTATTAAGAAGTGGAAAGTTCGGGGATCTCTTGATACCAAGCCAAGGTCAGGTAGACCAAGAAAGATTGCAGCTATAACTGACAGAAGAATTGTCTGGGATTCAAAGAAAAATCCACAGGCAACCTCAAAAGAAATACAGGCTGCTCTGGAAAAAGATGGTGTGGTTGTTTTTAAGGAGTATAATACGGTGATACTTGAACAAAAATGAGCTGTTTGGTTGAAGTGCCAGAAAGAAGCTCTTACTGCACTATGTAAACTTTTGAGCACAACTGTATTTCAGTGCAGGTTTCCATAAAAAAAGAGTCTCTGGGCTCAATTCACAACGCAGTATCTACCACTTTAAGAACAGAGATAAAATACCTCCTAGCAATTTCCAAAAACTTTTTTGCCATTCACTAAGAACCATGTCTAAAATGCTGCATTTGGTATATTTTCAAACTTTTTGGTATTTATCTAATGAAATAATTTGTTTTATTATCTCACGACGCGATATCCAGTGGACTGGATACAGTGGAGAAGAATTACAACCCCTGGCAATTTTTATTGCTAATAAAGAGGTAAAGTAGTTGAAACTGTAGAAATATGCCAACTCTCTAAGTCAGTGCGGTCCCTGCAGTGTACGTATTAATACAAAAGGTGACTGGAATACCAGTCAAAGGGAAGCTGCTTTCAAAGGACACGTGATGTATCAAAAACAACTATGTTAAATTAAGTAAACACAAAATTTCTTTTTAAATGTCAAATATTGAATGGAAATAGTATCACAAATCACACACACATATATATTCCATTCTTCCACCAATAAAAAAGACAGTGTTGTCAATCACACACATCCTAGCTGAAAAGCCTGCTAAACATGACCCATTCAAATGAATGGTGGCACGTCCCAATAGTACCACAACTTCCATACAGCAAGTTTCAATGCATGTAGTTATGGTGCAGTGAAGTGGGCTTTTAGTAGTTAAAGCAGGAGGTGAGGAGGCAACATAATGCCTACTCACTTCCTGTCAAACACCCTCTAAAAAATGATCCACTGCAGATAGCTCTTCAGAAGACTACTGTATGTGTAAACAAGCCCTAAAAGAGTTGAGAATCTTCACACAATAAATGTTTACTATAAAGTTATTGCAGATGAAATAAGTAAACAGGAAGCTTCTGTTCACATGATTGGATATTTAAAGTGAATAGTCACACAATTTTTTGTGTAAAGATTCTCTAATATTTTAATAAATCAGCCTCAGCATGTACTTCATACTGCAGCTGAAAGTACTTGGGTTTGGTTCAAGGCAAGTTAAGTGAAAATGACTAAAGCTTGGGTGTCAAATCTGTTAAAAAAACAGTACTGGCCATTTTTTAGGCTAAGAGGCAAGGGATTTTCAAACAAATGGCTTGGGGGGCTCGCTATTACCCTGTGGCACATGTAGCAAAGCAAACAAAAGATTGAGAAACTCTGTTTGACAAGGAACAATGATTTTAGTAATGCTTAAAGTGTTACCAAACCCACAACAGTAAAATCAGTGTGTATATGCATGCATGTTATACTCACTGTGGGGCCTAAGGGGTTAATCCTCAATGTTGTGTAAAAAGGCTGTTTGATCCTGTCTCCTCTGATCCTCCCCTTCTTCCACAGTCCCCATTCCATGTACTGATAGTACAGAGCCCCAGGAGGCCCTCTGCACATGCTCCGTTTGTTGTGTATTGCTAGAGAGGTTTTTTTTGGGGTGGATTCATGTGATCAGCATAGGGCAAATCAGCACTGTCCAGACAGAGGGTCAGGGGTCATGCAGCCTCATAGGACAGTCAGAGGAGAATGAAAAAACTCCTCCTGTAAGCTTTAACCAGTGCCCGGCCAGACACTGATTGAAGTCACAAGACTGCACTAACTCCTGATGAGAAAAGGTATTTAGCAGTTTATATTTACTAAAATAATTCCATCTTCTTGTTCTGTGTACTGTGGGAGATCAGACATAGTGAATAAAGGGTCATGGATTGAGTAAGACATTAAAGTGAAACATTAAAAAATGCAAAACTCTTTTAAATAACATGCCTGTGAGATGCCCTGACTCTGCTTGTGAATTGATCCATCTATTCAATGCATACAACATACTACATCAGAACTGACATTTAGAAAAAAATGACTTAACCTCCCTGGCGGTATTCCCGAGTGTAGCTCAGGGTAAAGTTTCAGTCCAACCACAAGCGGTAACCCCAGAGCTACACTCGGGCTTACCATGCGGCGCTGCTCCGCGATCCCTCGATCACTTACCTTGTCCTGCGCTCCCGCGATGTCCCTCCTGCAGTGCCAGTGTCCCCGGCAATGTAATCCGGCGGATGCCGGCATCTGTCTTCTGGGTTCCGTCCCCTGGGAGCGTCGGGACGTACGGGGGACACGGAGTGGCGGGAAATTTGAAAATGACAAAAAGTGACATTCACAAAAATCACTAAAATCACATAGTAAAACATTACTGTATCAAACCATTTCACATACATTTTGTCCCGAGTGCTTTGTCCTGTGCCCTGCCTGCATTTCTGCTGTTCCTATTGCCTGGAAACTGATAAACGTCCATGGCGTCCAAAAAGCGTCCCTTTAGGTCAAAAGCGGTTTTAGACCAGCTAGAGAACAGCGATAGTAAATTAGAACCACTTGCAGAATTGAGTGATAATGATTCGTGGGGAAATTCGTCATCAGACACTGAAAACAATTTTGCGACTTTGCTCAGTGATGTTCGACCTTGGCGCTATATTTCAAATTTCAGTGTTTTTGGTTTGATTATATTATTTAATTACACTATTATGTTTACTAGACTCTTGTTCGGATAGATTTCATTGAGTTATTCCTAAGAATTACAGGCCTACAATATAAAACACCAAATTTTAATGCAAAATAATGGTACCGCTTTCAGCACCAAAAATCTGAAATAATCATACCGCCAGGGAGGTTAATAATACTTAGATCAGAAAAGTAAAGTTAAAAGTTCTGATCTATGTACTTTTTTTGAGTCAGTAAATCAAACTATTGAAACAAAAGGATCAATATGACAGCTAAATACAGGTAAATAAAATATGCATGGCAAATTGGCAATGACAGCATCCATGTTTCTCTCAGGAAAGGATTCCATTGGCATGTATTCATATATACGTTTCCAGTATACTTAGATATAAGTTGAATACACTTAGTTAAAGTAAACATGACAAGCAAATTTTTATTCACTCTACAGCACTTAATAAAGTTTACTTCCATACTCCCATCCATCTTTAGCCCAGGTTCACATATGTGTGGTCGTGTGGGCCACAATTTTGCACGGGCACAAGAGCCCATTCATTGGAATGGACTCCTGTACCCTGGGACATGCAGAGAAGAAGTCCCTGCACTATTTAGAAAATCGCAGTCCGCATGAGAACCAAGGTTCCCAGTACGGTTGCGATTTCCAGTGCGAGCAGCGTGCCATTAGAATTAATGGCACCCATCCTGCATTTCTCTGTGTGGGTGGTGCGGCTGCAGGTATTTGTGCTGGTCCTGCAGCGGCACCACCCGCACAGATGTGAACCAAACCTTAAGGAGGATCAAAAGGGGCAGCTGCCCAGGGCCCAGTCATTGTGGTGGGGCCCAAAGCAGCTGCCTGATACTTGCAAACTGTCCTGGTTTACATAACCTTGTCCCTTGAAGTTTTTGTCCTGGGCTGTGTCCTGATATCTTAGTGTGAAGTGCTGTTACTTATGCTGCCTAGCTCTACCCTATTGCCATGTGTAGATGACTCACGTGTGGAGGGTGGGGAAGGTTTGGGTGCAGAGGTTCGCAGGGTAATTTAGGATGCAAACGTGTACTGACAGGGTGGATAAAGATGTACATCATGTGTAGGAACAATGCGGAAAAAACTCCCTGACCCTTTTTCAAAAGCATACTGAGCCACGCAGTGCCACAGCGGCATGAATTTTGGTGTGTGTGAGAAAGCGCACATCAGCAGATGCGTGAGGGTGTCATTAACAATTAACATAACTGCTGTGTATCTATTGAAGGGCAGTATGTTTCTGTGGGTGTCAGGAAATTGATTTTGCACGTGTTCCCGACATGCACAAATGTGAACATAAGTACCTCAATTACATTGGTGGTCAGTGTATATCTTCTCATTACATTGGGGCATGGTGTAGAATCCTCTAATTCATACCAGTGGTCAGTATGAATGTCCCCCTTACATTGGTGGTCAGTGGAAATCCCTCCTCACATTGGTGGTCAATGTGAATGCTCTTGTTACATTAGTGGTCGGAGTAAATTCCCTTTACATTTGTGTCGAAACTCCTCTTTATATTGGTAGTCAGTAAAAAAATCCTAATGCATTTGTGGTCAGTGTTGAATCCCCCCTTACAATGGTGGTCCTTGTAGAAGCCCTCCTTAAATTGGTGGTCAGTGTAAATTCCCCTTACATTGGTGACCAGTGTAAAAATGTATTGGTTGTTGGTGTAAAATCCCCCATTACATTGGTTGTCAATGAAAATTCTTCATTACATTGGTGGTCAGTGAAAATTCCCATTACATTGGGGATTAGTGTAAATTTCCCTTTGCATTGGTGGTCAGTGTAAATCCCCCTCACAGCACTGCCACTGATCCCGTCCCCCCAAGCACTACCACTGATCCCCTCCCCACACTGCCACTGATCCCATCAACCCCCCAGCACTGCCACTGATCACACCCTCCCCCCAGCACTGCCACTGATCCCAGGAGTCCTAAGATCCCTAGGAGTTTTCTGTCTATTGGTGGGTCCCCTCTCCTTCTCAGTCCATGGTGAGCAGTCAGCGAGAAGATGATTTGCTGTAACCTTCAGCAACCAATCAGTGAGACGAGATTAAGTGCTGTAACCTCTAGCAACCAATCAGTGAGCTCTAATGACGTGCTGCAACCTTTAGCAATCAATAAGTGGTAATGATGCACAGTAATCAATAGTAACCAATCAGTGAACAGTAATGATGTGCTGTAGCAACTAGCAACCAATCAGTGAACAGTAGTGATCTGCCGTAATCTCTACCAAACCAATCAGTGAGCAGTAATGCTGTGCAGTAACCTCTAACATCCAATCAGTGAGCGGTAATAATGTGCAGTAACCTCTAGCAACCAATCAGTGAGCGTTAATGATGTGCAGTAACCTCTAGCAGCCAGTCAGTGACCAGTGATGATCTGCAGTAAACTCTAGCAACCAATCAGTGATCAGTAATGATGTGCAGTAACTTCTAGCAACCAATCAGCAAGCATGTGCTGTAAGCTCTAGCAACTAATCAATGGGCCATAATGTATGCTATAATCTCCAGCAAATAGACAGTGAGTAGTAATGATATGCTGTAACCTCCGTCAACCAATCACATTCGCTGCTTGATCTGCTGAAGTAAACTGATTTTGAGTTTAGCTGTTATTTATTGTATGTCGCAGAGCAGGTGGCGAGCAAAATTGCATGGGTGGTGGCGGGCAAGAAAATGTTTGCCCAGGGTCCAATCAATATTACTGATGGTCCTGCTCCCATAAGATACTTGCAGTAGGCCTCAGTTCAGCTCCAAAAATAGTAAACAATTTGACTGGGCAGGATTGGTTAACCACTAGGCTTCTACATTCTGTGGTTTGAAATTTCCAAGCATGGGTTCTCATTTTCACATTTATCTATTTGTCAGCCTATAATAAAATAACAAAATGCCAAGAAGAGTATTCATTAAACCAATGTACCAAATACATGCCTTTAAAAAAATGCAAAAAATTATTTGGGTAGGCAAATTTGGCACAGAATTATTGTCAAATTAACTGTCTGCCAAATTTGATCCGAAATTCTATGCATTAGTGACTTGAATGGTCATTAAAGAGTTAAGTCTTATAAAGTGTATCCATGATCAAGCATTTGTTGTACATTATTAAGAACCTTCAAATAGTCCCCATTTGAAAACTAGAAACTTGATGTCAAGCTGAACTACAAATATTAAATGTTAATTTAGTAGATGGTATGAAATGATACACAGTACAGCATGTGTCTAATTAAAGTGTAACAAGTTGTTTCCGTTGAAGGAAAGTGCTGATATTCTCTCTCTTCCTAGCAATCTGGCCTGTTAGGAAGCTGGAGGCAGCAGGGACGATGATATTCCCCCATATCGAGATTCATGTAACACTGCTTTGATCAACACCTTACTTCGGCTGACAGGACACAAAACGTAAGACCTGCTCTTTCTGAGAGCTACCTATACCTCATTCCCTCCATAGCCAATTATTCTCAAGCAATCAGGGGAAAGAATGAAGGCAACATAGAAAAGATTGCTTTGTAAAAGTGTCAAGTGTGTGTATACAGCATGTTGTTAACTCCTACCCTGCTGACATGGATATCATTATAAATGGTAATGAATCCCTACAAAGGTGAGATGTGTGCATTGAAGAAGACTCTAAACACTCCAAAGAGAAATTATCATAAGCTATAGTAAATTCTCATTTTCAATTATAATTGAAAAGATTATCTGAATGTAACTTTTAACACTTTAATTCAGCTTGTCGTGCTACATTTACAAGCATATTAATATTTTAATAATTATTTCAATAATTATTTTATTATTATTTATAAATATTGTATGTTGTAAATATTTTATATTTATAAATATTTTATATTTATAAATATTTTATTTATATTATTATTTTAATTATTTTAATAAAATTATTTTCCAGTTTTTACTTTGGTGGCAATTTATGTCATGTAGTGCTACCCCTGAAGGAGCCTCTGGAAAATGCCAAGGTTCTTTTCCCAGTAGATTGCCCTGCAGCCAGGCACACATTCACAGTCACACTTGCCTCTTGCACAGTGCCTTCAAAAACAGTCTAGGGGTGTTCTTTTTGTTGTTTTTATTTTTGAAGTAACTAAGATAGGGTTGAGGGAATCGGGGCAGACTGACAACTCATGGGGCCCCCGGGCAATAGGGGATCATGGGGCCCCTGTGTTCTTGCCCAAAAAAGCCTATGAAAAAGGAACCAGGGGCATCTCATGGGGCCCCCTACTGACCCTGGGCCCTCGGACAGTGCCCAAGTTTCCAAATGGTCAGTCCGCCCCTGGAGGGAATTGAGAGTATAGTGGGATACTTTAAAAAGAGAACTATGTACAGGTTGAGGACAGTAAACTAATTTCTGAAAAGCTAAGGCAAAAGTCCTTGCAGTAGCAAACTGTGGATTTGGCTTTGTAGTAGAAGCAGTTTAAAGCAGACTTCATTCTTTAGGGCAACCAGAGCAGAGCACCTTAACAAGGAACTAGATAGACTAAGCTCTTCCAACATCCATGCGTCACCTTTCTCCTGTGATGCCAGATTAAATCTTCAGCTCCTCAATCAACTCTTTGGAGCTTCAGCATCAGGGCCCTCAGGTTGCCTACCCGAGGCCTCATTAACAGCAAGCGCATGGCATTGCTGCCCAGAGCGCCGTAAGCCCTCCAGGCTGGATTTCCCCTCTGCAGGCAAAGACCAAAAAGCTCTGTATCTCAGAGTGTTCATATAGACTCCCAGCAGCCTTCAGGGCCATCATTCCTGGGATTGGCCAAGGCCGTATAAATATTCATACTGCTATTTGTATTGCTCTGTACCTATGTTCTAGAGGATTCTACTCTCTAGACAACAGAAGAAACAATCAAACCAGCTGCAGATGAAACATTG